ATACATACATACATACATACATACATACATACATACATACATACATACATACATACATACATACATACATACATACATACATACATACATACATACATACATACATACATACATACATACATACATACATACATACATACATACATACATACATACATACATACATACATACATACATACATACATACATACATACATACATACATACATACATACATACATACATACATACATACATACATACATACATACATACATACATACATACATACATACATACATACATACATACATACATACATACATACATACATACATACATACATACATACATACATACATACATACATACATACATACATACATACATACATACATACATACATACATACATACATACATACATACATACATACATACATACATACATACATACATACATACATACATACATACATACATACATACATACATACATACATACATACATACATACATACATACATACATACATACATACATACATACATACATACATACATACATACATACATACATACATACATACATACATACATACATACATACATACATACATACATACATACATACATACATACATACATACATACATACATACATACATACATACATACATACATACATACATACATACATACATACATACATACATACATACATACATACATACATACATACATACATACATACATACATACATACATACATACATACATACATACATACATACATACATACATACATACATACATACATACATACATACATACATACATACATACATACATACATACATACATACATACATACATACATACATACATACATACATACATACATACATACATACATACATACATACATACATACATACATACATACATACATACATACATACATACATACATACATACATACATACATACATACATACATACATACATACATACATACATACATACATACATACATACATACATACATACATACATACATACATACATACATACATACATACATACATACATACATACATACATACATACATACATACATACATACATACATACATACATACATACATACATACATACATACATACATACATACATACATACATAATAATAATAATAATAATAATAATAATAATAATAATAATAATAATAATAATAATAATAATGATAATGATAATAATAATAATAATGATAATGATAATAATAATAATAATAATAATAACAATAATAACAGTAATAATAATGATCTTAATAATGATAATAATAGTAATGATAACAACAACAATAATGATAATGGTAATAATAATAATAATGATAATGATAATAATAATAATAATAATAATAATATTAGTAATAATGCCCAGGACGATTTGATTTATCTAAAATTATGCAAATCTACGCACGTGCTCACGGGTGATACGCGTGCGCCCAAATGCACACACACAATCACATGCTGCGATTTGTGTGCACTCGCGCGGATTTTAATGATAATGATAATAATGATGATGATGATGATGATGATGATGATGGTAATAATGATAATGATGATGATGATGAGGATGAGGATGATGATGATGATGGTAATAATGATAATGATGATGATGAGGATGAGGATGATGAGGATGATGATAATAATAATGATAAAAAATAACAATAATAATAATAATAATAATAACTATTATTATTGTTATTATTATAATGATAATAATGGTAATGATAATGATAATAATAATAATAATAATAATAATAATGATAATAATAATAATAATAATAATAATAATAATAACAATAACGATAATAGTATCATAATGATAATAATAACGATAACAGTATTATAATAATGATAATAATAATAATGATTATTATACTAGTAATGATAAATATAATAACGATAATGATAATAATGATAGTGATAATAATGATAGTAATAACAATAATACTAACAATGGAAATAATAATAATAGTAACGATAATGATAATGATAATAAGAAACATATTTATAATAATAACAGCAATGATTATGGATACTGAAAAGGGTGGTGATCATGATAATAATGATAGTAGCAATGCTAATGGTAATAAAATGCCAACGCAAGTAACAATTATAAAAATAATTATAGCAATAATATTGTTAATTATATTAATGACATTTATGACAAGAATTATCCTCCCTGCAATATTCATCCTCTGTGTCAACATTACCTTTACATTGCTAATACTGTTATGATAATTACGATAATAATGACTACCGCAATTTGTGTGTCATATTTTACTGCCATGTTATGACTCTGACACGTCCATCTTGCCAGCAGTATCTACGTCAATATCAACATCATTAGAATACTAAGTTAGTGATAACAGCAATATTAATTTTTTCTTCTCTCAAGCGTCCCAGCAGAGAGCAATTACTCGCATTAATATAACTAACGAGCTGTATCCTGCCCATAATGAGAACGACCACAGTGTAGGCACAGCACTGCTCTTGCATAACGCTGCTCGGTAACAGTTGCGTTTGTCTGTTTGTTCAAAGTTGCTACTTTCTCCAGGAGGGAAGCTATAGTATGGAAGGGTAAGTTTCATAGCTTCCATTGTCACTGCTATGAGAAATTTTTTAGTTTGTGAAGAAATTGATGGTTATGAATAGGCCCAAAGGAGTGTGTGTGTGTGGGGGGG